GATCGTCGCAAAGGTTCCTCACGTCGTGCCCTCTTTATGGTTGAAAATTGGGTCACATTCCGTAATTTCAACGTCTAGCTAGGCTGCTCGCAGCTTGCCTCCGGATCACGGCCGGTAATTGCCCGTTGCGTTCGGTTACTCGGCCACGACAAAGCCGAGTCTTGAAAAAACCAAACTGTCGAGTATGTATTCCCTAATTGGGTGGCCGATATCACACCGCGGGAAATGAAAATTTCAAGATGAAGATGTTGTCCCGTCTCGCACGATGACGTCATTCTTTGAAATGACAGTGGCAGACGAGTTACTACAGTTTTAGTATTTCCAAGCGTTTTCATTTAAATACTTGGCTCCATATTGTTCTTCCACTCTTATTCCCAACAGTTGTGAATATTTCCTGGCAGATGTTTTTCTTTCTTTTTGGGGGGGACCTGAATTATAGATTTAAATGCATTGAATCATTTTAGGACACCGGATTTGGCTTCCTAAATCACATGAATATCTTACAAAATTCGGGGTAGTCATAAAAAAATCCTGGAATTGTTTCATTAAGAAAAAGGATATTGAGGAGGCTGAAACTGATTGAAAGACGCAAGACTTATTTCTCGAATTCTGAAGTTTTTGAAATATTTCCATCAGTTAAAGTCGGTGTTTTTTTACATCTTATAGTTTCGTCATTGACAATTTAACAATTCTGTTCCAAAACCTTAGAGTTCATATCTGATCTAAATTTCTATGATGTGAATATGTGACCTACCATTGCATAATGAGGAAAGATCCCCATTTATTACTTTTTGAGATATACATATGAGAATAAAGTGAGATGAATGGGCTTTCCAGTGGTAGGCAACTCCTACTTCCGAAAATACGACGCGAAATAGGCTCTCTCGGGAAAGCCCGTTCCAACAGTCCCAAACTTTACGCACGGGCAACAGTCGAACTGTTTGAAAACGTGCTCGGAATATGGACAAAACTTCGTCACGTAAAAGGTAAACACTATAAATTTAAGACTCACTCAAGAAATCCTCCTTTTTATCACCTTTGCCTGATTTTCTTACACAAATGGTATAGCTAGAAGAAATCTTTTGACACTTAACCTACTTAAAAATCTAAAAAAAACAGAAAATCGATTTTGGCATGATTTTGTTTACGTATATCCAACTTTAACCGCCGATTATTCAAAACAAGGTTTTGAGGATCATTCCTCACATTACTGTCACTATTACAGAGGGATGATATGGAACATTAGAGTACTTCAACTAAAGAGCTGGCAACCAGCATGGAAAGGTGCAGAGAAGCAATTAAAAACTATCACAGACGCGTGCGCAAATGAAACTAAATTCCATTGTTTGCAGCATTTTCCCGTCCTCGTCAGCAATATGTCGGCTTTCATTCTTGACCAGCAAATCATCTCATGCTTCGACAAACAAATTGCTGGATGACCAACAGGTGGCTTTCATAATAATTGAGGACTGCCGTGATGCTTTCGGCTTAAAGGAACTCTCTCAGTCCTCGTCCATTCTTCATAGCCACAAAATAGGTACCGTTCATTTCGGATAACTACTACGGTGTGGTGATTGGTATATTTCGAAGATGATAAGGAGATCTCGTTTTCTTGATCCTGGTATTTTTTTGTCTGTAAATTAGGCACCTGAAAGAATTACAGTCCTCTACAAACCGCTGTGAGGTCCTACGGGTTGCCGAATGTTTGGCCTGTGCATACGATTCCTCCTCGGCCTGCATCGAGGGAACACAGACGTTCTGCCATTCATTAATATGCAGTGTTAGTACAATCTGCCAGTGTGCTTCACGACATCGTACGAATAGGATAATGATCACCGGCTCGATGGCTGAATTTCCCTGAAATGCAAAAGAAATTCATAATTAATCTGTCTCGTTCTTTGGCGGTGGATGTTTCACGAGCACCGTAATGCAAGTATTCTGTTGCCATCTTTTGAAAGTAAACTTTTTAAATCTCATATAGTTGTACCTTTTAGAGCTTTCACTAATCGATTTTATTCTCTCATATATTTCTTGCCTAATACAAGGCGAATCTTTTTTTCATGAGATCTGTTCGTGATTTGACGTCTGTGTTCCGTAGTCACTAAGGAAACGGCTATTTTACTGTTTGGTTTGCCATTGTTTTTCCTCAGGAAGTTGTGTGTTCCTTTAACTGCTCACTTTGCATCATCAGTTCCATCATGCTAAAATCCTTGGAGCTTTGCACCGCGGCCATTTCCGATAGTGCCTCGCCCTTCTGGGAATAAAGAATCTTCGCGCGTTTGACCACAGGCAGTGCAATTTTGCACTATATGTTTGTTTGTTGTTTTTTTTCTCGTCGGGTACTTCATTACTCTGTTGTCCGTTCACACCAATTCTTTAGGGAGCTTTGTCGGTGGCGAAAAGCACTTTTTTCACCCGACTGCACACATAGGTAAATCTCGCTTTTATATTACTTCATTTTATCTCGTTTTTGTGTTTTTTTTCCGTGGCTTATATACGATACCGATTAACTTATGCAATCGGTGCTACGGCGTTTGTGTTTGATGTTTAATCAATGAGGATCCGTGTGTGGGTTTTCGCTCCGTAGGTAAACTCCTATTGGCGTTTAGAAGGCCGTGCTTTCCACATGGAGCTAAATGTTGATCGTGTTTCTCACACGAGTGACTACGGGAAATCGTGCATAGGCATGTTGATGAACATTGTTCGTCCACTGCACTTTATGATCGATGGATGTTTTGGGACCAAGACGATCGCCTGAAGGGAATGATAAACAAAATCATTTTTAATTTGTGACTTTAATAGACGAGTTGAGATTGATAGATATGCCTTCAGCGTTTTACGACATGCGATGTGAAATCTCCATCCATCTTTCATGTGCAATGAATAGATTGGCAATTGTTGCCACATGTTTATTTTCACAGGTGTATTTGCCCAATATTGGTCGAAATTAACAGGCCTCGACAAAGTCCTCTTGGCGAGTTTCTCAAGTTTTGCCCATATAAATCGACAAGTGAGGCCAGCCTTAAACCGGCAATCAGTTCAGAACATTTCCAATATTCTTGACAATGTTTTTTGCACCTTGAATCCAGAGTGAAGACTGCCAAGAGAAAGCTTTGCACGGACTCAAAATTCAGGTTTTTATCTCACGAAGCCACCACGGTCATGCAATGCCTAGACAAACCCTGCTCCACCCTGATCTTTGAATTTCAAAAGTCAACAAAATGTACGAATGTTTTTCATCATTCTCCGTCACTGATCGTTGACGTAATCTAATCTCCCCTTTGCCTTATCGAACGACGGGAGGTCGTGGACGGTAACTACAAATTCAAGCTACGTTGAGGCTGAATACATAAAGCCCTATTACTTTTTTTCCGGAACAAAATAAAACAAAACTTGACCAGCAATGACCTCCCGAAGATTTTCTTCATCTAGTGACATATAAAGAATAATTCTCAGACCCCAAAACATGAAGATAGAATCAAAGCCCTGGGCAACACTTGCAAAAATATTTTTAAAACGTTTCTTTTAGAAGCTCATATCTGATGATGCTGGGAGGTAGACAGTGAAAGTCTGAAAATGTCTTGAGCCAGCACAGTGGGCGATAACATAGGATGTCGGGGGCACTTCTAAGCGTTTCCTCAATAATTTAATCACAGTTTGCTGTCAAAATACATAAAAAAGTTTTTACCGGTTTTGCTCGGTCGAGGCGGCTGAAACGATTGTTTGCAATGTTGGTCTTCAAGTTAGCCTGGACTCTGTGAACAAAGGTGCTTAATTGGGTTAATTGACTGCGGGCGTAATGTACACACCTGCTCGCTGCGCCACGGGCTTCGATTACAAAGAGCTGGAAACGATATAACGAGTAGCCAAGGTATTCAGCTAAATATAGCACCGCGGGGCGTAGTTCGTGACGATACAGGCGAGGGATGATTGTTCGGCGTGATGATACACCGGGCCTCAGTTCCAGGGGCTCAGATTAATCCAGCTTTTATTGGAAGGGTCTGAAACTTTGTCGCGAAGTTACGTTTCCTTCAGTAACAGATTTTTTCTCTCGTTCATATAGGCCTACGTGTAAATAGGGGGTTATGTGTCATTCCAAATCGAGGAGATGGTTGTAGGGGCGTACTCGTACATCGGGTCCAGTTCGCAAGGTGCACCTGGAGATTGAGTCTTCTCATTTTTTTAGAGGGAGCTGACAAGATGAGTCTGGTTATAGAATGCCCAGTGATGCAAAGCTCTCTTTCTGAAATCCAAACGGGAAGTACAAGGGGACACCGGCATTGGGTGGGATGGGGTTGGGGGCGCTGCCGGGACGGCTCCACCCCAACTTGCTCTGTCACGCTACCGAAGATGGTTAGTATTACGAAATACTGAAACACAAGAGGGCGCACTTTTACTTCATGGCCACTACGCGCCGCACAGTGGTGGTTGAGTTCGGACAGCCTGTTCAGTCTTGACATGGGTTTCTTGTTCTCACGATCGAACGGCGGGAACACGACTCCAGAACACTGTTCTGAGAACGAAATCACACACCACCTCCTCATCAGGGTTTTACGAGAACACACGGAAAACTCGTGAGATTTTGATTTTTGAACAGCTGCAAAAAGTAGAGAGATGGCTTACAAAGCCATAGACCATGGGAAGTTTTGAGAAACTAATTAACAATTATTTTCCATAACACAGAAACGAACGTTCCTGTTTAATTAAATAGAAAAGAATTCAGCCCAGTTATCCAAACATTAACTCTTTAATAACGTTCATGGACGCCGCAATATCGCATCTTGCTTGCCACTAAACTATACCAGCAAACCCGGTTGGTTAGTTGTTTCCGGCGTTTGTTTGTTCCCGTGATCGTACGAGAACACGCCGCCAGAACTCCATGAACTCAGGACGAATCACTTTCCAATAGAGGGCGCCAGAACATTTGTCCAGCTGCCAAGTGATTCACCGTATATTTTCTTTAAACGTGTAGTAGGGTCTTCTGGTAGTCGCACATTTTTGGGTGATATTTCATTGTTTGTCGACAATACAGTCACCCTGGGTTGCAGCTGTAGTACAAACAGATACTTTGCCTCACACTTCAAGTGGAGATGTTTGATTCGGATATTTCAGGTTACCATGTTTCAAGCATCAGCAACTGCACGCTAAAAATACGATACTGGAAAGACCTATTGCATGCAACACTATCGCCTATAATCCAACATGGCCAGCCGACAGCAGCCGCTTTTGCCCCTCTCTCAGAGGTACGTCAACGGGGTCCCCGTCCCCGAAAAACGGTTCAGTTTACGGACTTCAGAGAGGTATTTTGTCTACTTGATTGTGTTAGTATTCATCAGCCTTTGCTACAGCGCCTTATTTCTGCTGCCGGAACTGCGGACTCGTACCACTTACGTGGATGCACCGGAAAAGATGTTCCAACACAGTATTGACTTGCCGGGCGGTAATAAAGGGGGCGTAGTTGGGCACAATCCCTTGGACAAAACGGGGGAGGATATACACGGCTCGGAGGACAAAAGGAAATTTAGGTTACAGCTGCAACTAGATGAAACTTTACAGCGTGCTAAGAACGCTTTAAACGATGGCGTGGCCCAGATAGGTCTCCCTGGTGTTGCCCTAAATGATCAAAATAAAAAGGACGGGGTAGGGGAAGATGCTAAATCAGGGGAGAAGTTACCTGTGGGTGGGGCCAAAGAGGATCAAAAGGATGTGAAGAAGGAGGTGGATGAAGATAAACAGAAGTTCTTGGAGAAGCAGAAAGAGGATGAAGCCAAACGGAGAGAGGAGCAAAAGCAGGCAGATCTGAAGAAGGCTGGGGTGAATTTTGAAGGCAGCAACCTGCCAGACGGTGAGCCCGACGACGAGGAGACCAGGAAACGGAGGAATGCAGTGCGAGAGGTTTGTATGCCAGGAAACGATTGTCTTGTTATGCCCTATCAGGCTATGGCAACTTGGCATCATTGGGCCAAACAAAATTACAGTTGTATGATTCCAACTAATCCGTGGAACTCGGACTGCAGGAATTGCCTTTTTGAACATTTGGACATGGTCAGGTAATAGGAGAGACCAGTACCTTCCACAGGCTTTTGCTTCCTTGAATTCATTTCACTCAAAAAGTGTCGTACCCCTAATCAAAATTCTCCAAATTCACCTCCAAAATGGTCCTTAAACTGTCTAAAGCTCTTGGCTTAGGATTAAGTGAGGATCAGATATTCCAATGATGGTGGTAACGTTTACTCACTATGGGAAGAAAAGAAATATTTCCCCTTCAAATCGGAAATGCTCTTGTTGTCGAGCTCGAAGCTGCCATCTTCTTCATACAGCGATTTAATCTGTATGTTTAATAATGTCCTACAGGCAATGTCACTGCGCGCCGGCCCAGCGGACCATTCACAAAAAGTGTGCCATGTCAGCACATGTGCACCAACGACTGATTCCTGAGCGCCGCAATGTTTGATAGCTATGACTGCATCGAAACTGTAAACCGAACTCTTCGGCACTCAGGAATCTTGTTGGCGCGCATGTGCCGACACGTTATGCCTTTTGAGAAGAATGAATTAATGGAAGCAAAATATGGAAGGTACACGTACATGTACTTGGACTCTACTATTGCCGGACCATGTCCAAATGTGAAAAAAGGCAATTCACAGAGTCCAAGTTACTCGGACTAGATTCCAACGTAGTCTGAGTGCTGTAGTTGGGTAGGCCAAAAGCATAATTTACTTGGACAAATTCGAATAGTGACTATGCATTTTGTCAACCACGGGTCAATTGTGCCTGGTACCCGATGCATAGAATACATTCTGGTTACCAGGCACAAGTCAGGCAGCGTTTTGCAAATGATCCCTGATCAAACTTGGCCCTACGTAGTTCAAGAGGTGTCATAAGGATGGGACTGTCAAAATTTGGCATTGATACCATGCTGTACAGTCACGTAAAAACAATTGATTACACCTGCTACATTAATTTACACCTTTTGAAGCCTACATTACAAGTACATACATGAATGAAGCTCTCTGTGAATTTACATCCATGGGTGCAGGATTTGGCATCCTAAAGATATTTGATAGAAAAAAATTGAGCCCATACAATTTACAAATTGGTCACAGTTTTCACGAATTGACAAAAGGTTCACCAGACATACCAGAGAGTATAACCTAGGTTTTGAGAAAATTGCATTTGAAGTTGATCTCTTTCTCAAACCCTTATTTTCCAAGTATTTAGTATTTCTTTGACTTAACTAATGCTACTCCATAGAAGAGGGGATTTTAAAATGAATATAAAAAAAAAGTGGTATATCAGCCATCAAAAAGTAATACTTGTAGCATGTCCTAAAGAGTCAAGGTTACTGATGTGTAGCAGGGAAAATACATGTACCAACAGCATTTACAGTACCACTGAATGTCAGCTGCCCGGGCTAAGCTCTCACTTTGTGGTCTTTGTCACAAAATAACCTGGACTTTGTCAAAAGGAGAGTTATTGTGGAGGCCTTCTTGGGACGGGAAATCCAATGTTTTCAGTTCGTTTGTTCTGCAGGAAACCGATCCTTGAATAGTCGCGTTTCCTTTTCAGACGGACGGTTTTTGTACTGTGCAAAGAAACTATTGGGTAATAAAATAAAGTAATATTGGAAATCTCCCTCACTGCCCTGGCCTGTCGCTGATGGATCAATAATTCATCAGTATCATTTCGCTGCATTGATTTGTACCTACGCAAACATTTTAAAATGTACACAAAGCCACAGATATTTTGAAAGATGAGTGTGTACCGTACCATGCACACGTACATGTACACGTAGGCCTACTGTGCTTCTTTCTGTACAAGTACGGTACAACTGTACGTTGTACATGCACATTGTTCCGGTACATGAAAGAAGTCAATATGGAAATGAGAAACGCAAGCAAATTGTTTTCATAATATGTAAATTTGGAATAAAATCATCTCTGCTATGCGTTAATTATATTGAAGTTGTTTGGGTGGCTTGAATTTCAATCAAATTGACTGCGCATACTGTACACAAAGAAGTCTGCATTGCAAAGTGGGACTATTTCAATGATTGAAATGAAGTGAAGGTAAAAATCGACAGGTTTGTTTGTCTCAGTCTGTGGGTACTGTTTCAAAGGAGAAATGGGATACAATTTTGATGACTTGAAAACAGACCGGAAAGCTTTCTTGAAGAGTTGCCATGACCTTCCACGTCCTTAAAAGCAGTTAAAAGCAGTAACTTTTGGGTAAACAATTGCAACATTTTGGTGTTTATGCTGATGAAAATGTCCACATGCTCAATTCATGAACCAGAGCCTGACGCCATCCAGTGCAAAACAGTAGTATCTCCGCTCTGTGTACAAACATGTATCACACTTTTCTACATTTTATTTGGAATTACTGGTAAGTTCCAGGTTTTGCCTGTTTATCTTGTGCATCAGCTTGTTTGAGCAATAGTAATGGCCCGTATTTCTTCAAATCTTTGTAAAGGTAATTTTGAAAGGTGATTTGTGCACCTTGTGCTTTTTTCAACAGGTAATGCCTTTGTGACAAAAGCAAAATACGTTTAGTGCCCCCTGAAAAGTGTTGATGTGTTAGGAAAAGATTTTCTGAAAATTGAAAAAATGCCATCTTGTCACAAGTTCAGCTGAATATCCATCGCATGCTCCCTTTCAATCAGATAGTTTTGAGGCCACTGAATTTTTAATGCAGATCTGAACACATTTTTTCCCCCACTAAACTGCTAAAGATCGCAGCCAGCACTACGAGTATATTTGGCATTTGATGGTAATGGCAATTGAGAGCTGTAACCTTGAACCTTAGTACTGGTCCTCAAACTTAGCTAAAATTGGAGGCATATCAGTGCAGTCATGATGTAGTGTGAGCCTGTATCACACACCTGCTGTTGCTTACAGACTGTACAGTACATGTATCCAATGCACATCGGGCCCGATGTCCTAAATTTGTGTGTCCAAAGTCCGGTGGCATTTTGGCTTCTGCACTGTTTTTGAGCATTTACTGATAATCTGCACAAATTTCTTTTTTCCTTCAGTTAGGTTTCATCTTCTACATGTACATGTACATGGATCTGTAAGTCAGCACCGTTGTATAAAGTCCAGCTGGTGATCTCCCTTCCTCTGATGTAAAAGGAAGAAAAGGAAATAGAGGAGAATTATGGTCCATAATTACCACGTGTAAATATCGGAATGAAACCGGGCCAATTGTAAACATGTGTACATGTATGTAGTGCTTTAGGTAAAGTTTAAAAAGGTTCAATTGATCGTCTGCGCCCATGGTCTTTTTTTAAATTTTGACTTTTTTTTTCTCACTTGGAAAAGGGATCAATTTTTCATGCATATGGGGCACTTTAATAAAACATGGAGACATTTTTAACACACACCGGTACATTTATGTGCGTGTATTTTAACTCTACTTAATGGTAGGATAATTACAAAGCTGGTCGTCATTTTGAACTGAAAAGTTGACTGTCATTTTGAATTTAAATGCCAGTACTAAGCCAAGTTAGTGGCCATCTTAATTTTAAAAAAAATTAAAAGTAAAAAAACTAAAAAGACCCTCATCTTCATTTTGAAACACCTGCCCGATCAACAGATTTTTGTGTTTACTTGGCCTTTAGCTGCAAATAGTTTTTGTTTCACTTTTGGATCTAGATTGAAACCATGTACATGCAACAAGCCATTTGCGAGTTAAATTTGATTAAAATCTGGTTCACTGAGTTATCTGATGGCACATAAACATAACGATTTGAATTCCCCAGACTAAAGACACTGTTGCTATACCTCGTGATTCGGGGCAAGCTTTTACTCAGTGACTACGATCTCTGGAATGGACTGGTTCCTTTGTGCTGTTCCTATCCATTGAGAACAGTGTATTGTTGCAAGGCATCTCTTATGTAACTAACCAAAAGCTTGCCCCGAATCACGAGGTACATGTATAGCAACAGTGGTTTTAGAATGGAGAATTCAAGTTGTTATGTTCACGTGAATTTAAAGAACTCAGTGTACCAGATTTTGGTCAAAGTTAACTCGCAAAAGGCTTATTCTGAAGCTGCTCACAACCATTCCAACACTCTGCAGTCAAAAATTGATTGTGAAGTTGCTTTGGGCGCTGACAAATGCTGTTATATACATTTTGCTGATATTACATGTAGCTCCTGTTCCACATCACCAGCTTCAGGCGGGAGCAATGGCTGACAATCGCTGATTGGCATAGTATCTTTACTGAAGCGGCAACTCATTTTGGAATGTACCGGCGTGGTACAAGCCTTTGATGGATGCAAATTCAAATAGCGATTACATACATGTATGATACAGAATGCAAAATTAACCAATTTTCATGAACAACTTAACAAGGATCTACTCCGGTATCTTTAAGGCCAACCATCCTGAGTGTGATTAGTCAAGTAGATGAACTTTATTTGCCATCTGTGTGTGTCCATGTGGGTATTTCCTTTATTCTCGCATATCAAAAGATCTGTATTTGTGTGAAGTGCAGTTTTCCATTGGACCCAGACTCCCTCGCCAGTGCTGAAATTTCAACCAGATGTCTTCTATAGGCCTACATGTAAAATGCTTCAAGTTGCGACAGATGAGTTCCAGTACACCTTGGAAATTCCCCCTTTTTAATTCCCAACACGTACATGTACAGTACCAGTATTCCATGAAGTTCTTGTGGGGTGCCAGTGAAGTACTCCACAATTTCCTTTGCTGCATCTTATTGTGCTCGTACGGTTCCACAAGGCACTTGAAACACGCGCATTGAATGTGCATTGCCGACCCTTCAGTCGTTGGTCAAGTTGTTGGATCACACTTTTTGTGTTTACCTGACGAAATGTCTCAACCCAGACTCAAAGCTGGCATGCATGCAGTATTCCTCTGGGTGGAGATTTCCACAGAATATTTTTAACACCCTCATCCATATGTCATTGCCGGCCAAACATATTGCAGTTGTACACTCATGGTGGCCATCAAAAATGAATGGGTCCCTTGAGACATACTCGTAATTGACGCTCATGCAGGCGTGGGCTATGTGGTAGAAATTAAATCGAGGGCTTGGCAAATGGACTTTAACGGCACGCAAAGTACATACGTGTACAAACTGGGAGAAAAAGACAAATTGCACCTGCGCTTGTAATAGTGGCTAATGTACCGGTACGTGAGCGTGTATGCATACATTATGTCAACTGTTTTCCCATCTGAGACTAGTGTTAGTACATTTGGACTGGTACCACTTGTTTGTTCCTGACCCTGTCAACGTTCCTGTTTGGTTGTGATTGAACTACATACATGTACAAGTTTGGAATGGTTGGAGCTTGGGTTGTAAAACCTGATTTCCAGACAGAAAAATGATGTTTGCTTTTGATACATTACCTGAACTTATGCAGATGAACTGGCCCACACTGTTTGAAAAAGCACGGTTTTCACAGTTGAATTAAAAAATCACAGAAAAACTATGAAAGTGCCGGTACCTTACAAAACTGTACTACCTGTACGTGTGCGTGCAATGACCTGTTCTAGTGGCATAGGACTGGACAATTGTAGAGAATCACTTTATAATTTTAAAAAAACCTGACATTTGATTTTGGCAGGTTTTAAAAGAAAACAAGATTATTTGTGTGGGTCCCCAACTATTATCATGATTATGTTGGTGTTTTACCCCAGCAGAACCCCCGGAGGTGCACCCCTTACCCATGTCTGTTCAAAATTCCAAAATGGGTCATCCAAAAGTTTCAATTTGTGGAGCCAAAAATGGTTTGACTCATGTCTGTGTGCATTCAGGAGCGAGTGCCACGATGTAGATTTTAACGTTGCGATGCTATATTGTGGCATTCCTTTGCCGCAGTACTCAGCGCACTGAGGAATCGTTGCTCCCATTGCAGAGAACTTTAACCCTGACATATCCCTCAAAATTTTTGTTGGAAAGTTAATATGATCGACGAAGGTAGAGCTTCAGCATTGTTATGTTGTGGTACACGTACGTGGGACTGGATTGGTCCTCAAAAGTTCAGTTCAAACACATGGCAGAGAAAGTAAAGCACGCCATAGAGGACGCCAAGAAGGTTTCCTGCACAGTGGAGGCATGCGGAGGATTCTGTAAGGTTCTCAGCAATCTTGCCTTGGATATACCGTACAGTAGGTTTACTGGTACATGTACTTGTCGACCCTTTTTTCCAATGTCTAATGCTGTTGTGATTTTATAGTGCACTTGTTTCCAGAGCAAAGTCAAACCAGATAGGCACTTTTTGTTAGATTTGTGGTTCAGTTCCATCCTCTATTGGGCCGGTTTGGTAATTCCAACTGCACATGCTCTAAACTTAGTGCATCTTAGGTTATTTGAAAACAGGAAGAGTGCCCGCGAGGCCAGCCTTAGAATGTGACCTTTCGGCCTGACTCACAAGCACTGAATATATTTAAGAATATCGACAAGAATGTAAGATTGAATCAGTGCTCTGAAATATATGATTGCCGAGCTTTCGGTAACTGAGTACCTTCTTCAGGGTGAGCAGATTCAGTTCTGAAGAAGGTACTCAGTTACCGAAAGCTCAGCAATCATATATTTCAGAGCACTGATTTAATCTTATATTCTTGCCGATATTCTGACCACGGTGCTACGCAGCCCTTCCATATTTCTCTGAATATGTTTAAGCTGGCTAAACATCAGGTGCTTTGTTCTCAAACGGCCTTTATCTTTTGTAAAACCGATCTGACTTGCCAAGGTGATCCTTCTTCCTTCACAGATGATGCTGCATGCCTGGAACGGCTATGAGAAGTACGCTTGGGGGGCCAACGAGCTAAAGCCCATCTCCCACATGGGCCACTCAGCAAGCATCTTCGGCCGCTCCTCGGTCGGCGCAACCATCATAGATGGCATGGACACCCTCTACATCATGGGCCTCAAGGATAAATTCCTCAAGGCCCGGACGTACGTCGCCCATGATTTCCATTTCACGGCTGTAAGTTACAAAGGAATGGTGCCTTACGTTATTGTATCACTGTTAGTACCGTAGGCGTACTTGCAGAGTCTAAGGCCGCGTCTGAATCAGATGGATGCGGCTTGAAATTATACACGAGTCTATGGTTGCAGCCACGGCCACTTTCCATAGAGTCGTGTGCGATTTCAAGCCGTGGCCAAGTGATTTGGATGTGGCTGAAATCTGCATAGCAAATTTGGAAGCTCAGCAAAAAAAGGGCGGGGAAACAGTTGCAGACCATACTCATCACATACAACTTTGGCTGGTAACCTGTTTTTGCTCAGGTAACATTTTCTATGCCAAGCAGATTTCTGAAATCGGAGGCTTCATCCTGTTACCCCCCAGAATTTTGGGTATGTTCACTTCGTGTCAACAGGTGCTCTTTGTAATGCATTCGGTGCTCAGAACTTATAGTTGAGGATCAGCACGACTTTCTGTTATTGAACGTGGAATTTTAGCCAGAGAATGTAACTGATATCAATGATGAGAGACAAAGGATTCATGCTGACAAGAAGTCATCACGAGTATGATTAATAATGGTAACAACAGCTGTGTGACATGAATACGTACATTTTGCATGAACATGTTATGAGTTCTGTACATATTTAGCATACATGCACCGGTACGTGTAGGCACAGCATGCAGATTAACCTCATTTGTTTGAAATTAAGAGATTTCATGATTTCTGCCTGAATCTCTGAAACGTCAGCTACTGTTATGGTAGCTGTACAGCAGAAAAGAAACATCAATACTCATCAATTACGTTCATATCAGCTAAAAAAGGCAAGTCTTTACTTTTTGCTTAAACACATTTCAATTAATGCTACACTATAGATATTGGCAGGTAACAAACGTGTTTCATAGATCTGCCCCCCATGCTATGTCATCATTGTACATGTACAAAGGTGTGTTTGTTGGTGCATATGAAATGTCCACAATGAGCATACATGTATTAGAGGATCCATGAAATGATTGTTTCTTAGAATCACTTTTTGTGTATCTCTGTACTCTTCTTCCACGCATGATGACTGTTTGGCATCTTTTTTTGTGCTACTCGAACTGAAAAGTGCACTTTTTAAACATTCAAAATTGACCAAGCATTTCTGGAAAAGTGAGGGCGCTATAGATTGCTTTGATGTAAATCCAGGAAGACATTGATCAGTTTGTATGTTTTTATGTTCAAACTGTGAACTCCAAATATGCTATCTGAAAACATTTCTGTGGAAAGATTGCTTGCTGGCTTATTGTCATATACTTATACAATGATAAATTGCCTAAGGAAATGAAATCTACGATAGCAGTGCACAAATACATGTAGGTGCAACATTGAGATTCAGTGCCCTGTAGGACATCATAGTTTTGCTCATGAATATGCAAATGCGGATTAGCATAAAACCCCCAAAGCTCCAAAATACAGGTTAAAATTGTGAAACAAAATATCAAATAAGATTAACTGAAACCCAAAGGTACATGTACAATTTCAAGGATTTTTGTGAAATATTCTATTTCACGGTCCCTTTAAGCATGTTAAACAGCAAAGGCCATTCCGCCCTACTGATAATGTACAGTAAGGGTCCATCATTTCAGGGGAAATTGGTAATTACCATGGTGATGTCCTTTAGAAGGCTGTTCTGGAGCTTCAATACCATTTGATAGTGCTGGTAGCAATTACGCTGTACATCCATGGCCACAGCTCAACGCTTCATTGGTCTTCTTTTGTTTTTTCAGTGATAACGTCTGGTTGAAATTTCTGCCGATACATGTACAATGTACTTTCAGGGTGCTTAATTGCAAAGTACAAACTGTACATGTACCTGGTACAGTATATGTCCTGTGTTTTCCATGTTCCACTTATATTCTTAGAGCGCGAGATCTACCGTAATAGTCCGCATTGCATACACACCTTTGTTTGGTCCTGGAACAAAAGAGGTCTACACACAGTGCAGGTCATTCAGTAAATCGGGGGACCAATTTTTTTATGTCCTTGTCACATTTGATGTAGTTTGTACGAGATAAGTTTAAGACACGTCTTTTAATTTCCAAGAGCGAATAAGTAATGCAAATTACCTGCCAAATAAAGACATTGGACAGGATATAGTTGGAAGTCAATTTCAGCTAATATTTGGGTCATTCCATGAGGTTGGGGCACGATTTGTGATGGTGTCCATTGTTACGTGGATTCTTTAAAACTGAACAGCTGTTTTCCTGTATGTGGATTCCAAGTTATACATCTTGCAAGGCTGAATAAAGAGGTGTGTGTAGGGTTTTTAGTAAAATGTATAAAAACATTTCCTATTTCTTGGTTGCTTTAAACACGTCAGGTGTACCGATAGCACGAACACCAAAAAATGTCCCTGCTTTTGGACCCCACATTCATGGAATAACCCATGTGAGAAGACCCTTTTGTTGACTTGTTCGGGTCCGCACAAGTATTTTCCATCTCTGAAAAAGACAGCCAATCAAATTTTTACAGGAATTTTTGTGTTTGTAGAACGAAGAGGAGTATTCGATGAAGTCATGTTAAAAAAATTTCATGTTGAAATTTTAGAGCAGTGTGACTTGGTGTTTGCTTTGATGTTGAAGGTATTGTTTATCTTTTTTTTTTTACTTTTGTTTCAGACGACTGACCTGTCGGTGTTTGAGGTCAACATCAGATTCATTGGAGGTTTGCTGTCTGCCTATGCACTGACAGGAGACGAGGTACGTATGTACATGTATGTCATGTATGTCTTTGGTGGAGCATTGTTACCATGGTTACAATCTATAACCCCTTGACACAGCAACATAAAATAAGAGTTTGTTCTCTTCATTGACATCAGTTTTAACAACAGTTTTACTTTCTTGGGGATTCCATTTAAAGTAAAAATGTCCTCACACAAATTGTTGGTAGAATGCGGACGTGTACCAGTTTCATGGGTTATTTCTGCTCTCTGCCCAGTACTAGAAGTTGTACATTATGCCACGTGTACATGTCTATTGAACACTGTAGAGACATTTACTGGATTTAAAGCTGCTAAATGTTTATCATGGGTTCGATCGAGGTGTTCTTTTAAAACATATTTTCAAGTAGCGCAATCCAGCAACCCCGGTGCTGTTTACTAGAAACCCTGCTGCTTTTAAGGTTCCATGAGGTGGCAGTTGCCCCATGTTGCCCTTGATTTGATAAGCTGTGGTGGTGTCTGTAACGTCAGCCTTGTGAGGTCAGTGCCTCCTAGTGTGATTTGAGTGCATCCTGGCCTTAAGCCTAAAAAAAGATCAAGAGAGTACAGGGGAGGAGGTTATACATGTGGTACATTGTGCCCAGATTTAGAGCACTTGGACAAACATGTCAGTCCAAGGCATCCAAGCATTTTGGAAAGTGACATTTGGAGTCCAAGTGTGAGGTCTTTGGGTCAGGTCTTCACTTGCTTCAGGGGGACAATTTCTTTTTGTTTGGCAGATGACCGGTAGGACCGAGCTGTGGGGATGTTTCTCTGTTCCCATAACGTTTTCGGTCCCCCAAAAAATAGGTGAAATATCGTGTGTTTGCCCCCACATCTACGGAACAAGAATACGCACACCTGTGTATGTTTGTTTTATATTCCCATCATGCCAGGCATCCAAACGCTCAAACTCTCACTCACGATACTCGGGCAACGCAATCATATTACATACATTGTAGCCTTGAGTGTTGCTTTACCACCGTACCCACATACATGCATTTCAGTTTACTCGCTGGGGACAAGGAAAATATGTACCGGGTATGACAGCATTGTCGGCCGCTTGCACGATGATTAATTCAACACATGTTCCAGCAACAAAGACAAGCAATTTATCACGGGATACCTGTTTTGTTCATTTTTCTCTGGCAGTTATGACAAATGGAAGTCACCCCCCCCCACTTCAGAACTGCACAGTTAATGGTATTCCTATAAAAGGAAGCCATACAGAACACACCATCTGATTATGAAGTGATTATTGTTTGAGAGGTTGGCTTGTGTGGATGTTGCCCATTAAAAATGAAACAAGAACCTTGAACCCTCTTTTTCCCCAAAGAAGAAGTTCCTTAAAATTAACACAGTTTTCCAGCGTATCAGTCACGGAAATGTTAATATAATAATACTATTAATTTGCATTCGACAAAATGCCCAATTCCCAAATGTGCTTCAAAGCACTGTACAATGAAAAATAAGGATATGCATACCCTGTGTCTGTCAAGCAGAGGATTCATTTAAGATAACAAGATACCTCAGAATAGATCAGGAAAAACTTTCCCGGATTAGCAAATTTCCTTGTTTTTTCTGTTTCTCTCGTGTGCAATTACAAATTGAAAAATCTTAAGCACTTTGGAATTTCCTGTTTTGTACCAAATCCTCCGTCGCATGCCTGGTATATGCACATGGTGTATGTAGATGTTCACTGGAACCTCGCTAGAATTGCAAAAATATCTCAAAACATCACTCCCCCCCCCTCCCATTCAGTTCTAGAACTTCACCTTGAATCCCTGTCATGGACTTAATGATTTTTAACATGTCTGCGCTCTGTTCGATTTTCAAAAGTCTCTCCCAGACCTTTGTCCGATGGAACTGAAACTGCAAATTGACTAAATGTCACAGGGCCTATTGACATTTTCGGCTGATCCGTTGTTTGAATTGTCGTGAATATGAATAGCTCGTTGATGCTATTCCTAGATATACTGGTATATTGCTGGCTGTGATTTATAATTTTCAGAGAATTTGAATTAAGCAGGGTGGAGATTGGCAGATGGAATCCTTGTTTGAACCTCCTCAATTACAATTGCACATATGGATCTACCAAAGTACACATGTACTTCAGTTATTTCCCGTAAATTAGTAGCCTTTTGGAAAACGGGGCTGTGGCAGATTAAATGTTGTGTGTTGGAACCAGGTGCCCCCATCACCGGATCATTGATGTTAAGAACCGTTCCAAATTATGAGACCAGGTATCCATCACCAGCTTCAGTTGTTTGTTTTTATCCTTTTCTCGTCCTCTCCCTTCGGCAGATTTTCAAGGAGAAAGCCAAGGAGATAGCCGACAAGCTGCTCCCAGCATTCAACACCCCGACTGGCATACCATATGGACTGGTTAATATCAAGAGGTATGTTAAATTTGTCGTCATGAAGCATACCCAGGGTGATAAATATTTTGGAGAAATATGGAAGGGCTCTGTAGCACTGTGATCAGAATATCGACAAGAATATAATATCAAGCACTGATCTGATATATATTTTGGGTCGGTATGTCATCAATTGATGTGTCTGTCCCACCAACGTTGGGCTTGACCTGGTTTAGAGATACGAGGTATCACTTTGTTACCTTTCTCTGAAATGGAGTTGTGTTCATATTACAATAATTGGGCTTGTATGTTGCATGTTTACTGTACATGTACATCTCATGAGCTACTCGCGCACATGTACATGTATACACAATGGGCAATCATGCATGCAGCGGTTTCAAGCTTTGTTTATGTACATGTACATAGTTTGACATTTGCGTATACAGCTCACATACATTACACTGGATAGACTCATACTACGATGTATTCATGGACAGGTTTAAACAGTCACATACATGTGCAAACATGGCATACAATAGTGTGGACCTCCGCACAAAAGAGGTCCACAATTTTTGTAGAGTTGGAAGACGTTGCGTGGACTCGCACATGTCCACACCGTGTTTGACCTCTCTGAAGAACAGCTTCAGAGGCATTTGGGGGTACCCGTTAGCAGTAGTTTGCTTGAATTTGCTTAACCACTTAAGAATAGTAATGTCCACACTGCCTTTTGGTATGCGAAACAGGTGTGGGTGTACGCACTCCCATGCGAAACTTACGTGTGTTTGCTAACAAATTAACAAATGGAAAGAGCAGTGCCTAATTTTGTTTTATACATGTAAAACTTTAAAAGCTGAAATATAAATCATGGATACATCTCCGTGACATGCACCAGTACATGTTTTGCAAATACATGTTTTGCAAAGCTTACATTTAGGTTGGGTCTGTGGTAAATTCATTGCCTTTTATTTGTAGTGCACCTACATTTGCATACATTGCATGTTCTGTTGCAATATTTATCAAGTATTTGCATGTTCTGGTGCAATGTTTATCAAGTCAAGCTGCAACTTCGATGCGATGTACCGGAGGGGTTATCGTCAAAGTTCTGTCCAGTACAGCTTGTCTGTATGACAAACTGCACATGTTGAAGGGAATAATGCAGACGTGATCGAGAGCCACACACTGACCAAAAGTAACATCCTTTTCGGTGTTGTGTAAAATGTAACTCTGCTCGCCAACGGGCTCAAGTATTTACAGGAAAAACTCGTACGCGGTAGATTTCCTACTGTTTGAGAAGCAGATGCTGTTTTGCCACAGATGTTTGCCTAGAGATATTTTTTTTTCACACTTCCCAGGGTTAAATGCATCAACATGTACCAAAATCTCTCTCTAGAGACCAATGTTTGAAGCACAGGGATGTCATGGTAAATATATCCTTAAACATAAATGCAAATCCGTCAAAAAAACACAAAACCTCAGGGACTTGGATTCTGTGTTTGTCCGTTCAAGGCAAAATTTGAACCACCAGTTTTCAAAATGTTGACAAAAGGCCTTGGATCCAGTCTTTGAAGAAAGCGTCATCAATTTTTCACAAAAGCAATTTGCAGTTTATTTGATCAGTGGGCGGGCCTGTCAGTTGAGTCGTGCCTGGCCATTCATTTTTAATGCCACGTTCCCTGCCTGCCTGTCCGGTATCGCGAAAGTCTGAAGAGCCCGCGAGCTGCAAGTCCCATCTGGGGTTGTCCCCTGCCCTGCATCTTAAAAGGATCTCATGATTTCGATCGAGGATTGTGTTGCCTGCTTCATGTTGGAAGAAGAAGCATCTCAGGTTTTACAGTAATGGAGAAACTCTCTTAAAGCTCGGCAGAACCATACTGTAAACAGAATCTCGTGATTCAGAAAAAGTACGGTGCTGCGATGAACGGCATTCACCGGATCCGTGTACATGTACATGGCACACACTGGCAACCTAAGAGAATTTTTCAAGGCAAAATGCTGCATGTCATTAAGCACTACATTCTGCATGTATTGATTTTGCCTGTTGTTCTACATCACACTGACTACACCAGATGGTCTTTGTATCAAACATGTGCAACATTTGAGCAGTTTCATATGTGTTTGAAGCTGATTGCAGAGCTTTCATGTTGGAATTTGCCTCTGAACTTCTTTGTGTGGTGTTTTTTGTGTGATTTTTTTTTAATCCCTGATGCAAGGAGGGCGCCATGTGTCCTTGAAAGGGTTAAAATGAACATGGCACACTGCAATAGGATCACCCTTTTGTATACATGTTGTCAAAATATGAAAGTTGATGTCGACAACAAATAAATTGAATCATCAACTTGTACATAGACATGCACTGTGAGGTTTCAGCTGGGTTTGGGAAGCGACAAAAAACGTTCTATCACACTTCCTTGTTTGTAGGCACAAGTTTTGCCTATGCTACAGTGTCCCCTGCTCCCCTGTAATATGATTGAATGGCCACGACCACATGAGTGACTTTGAGATTGTCACACTTTCCAGAAACATGACCATTCAACACCTGTGGAATTTCTGAAGTGATAACTGATGTCTGAAATGCAGCTCCAGGGTACAAGGGACGAATTAGCCAGTCAACTTGGTTGTAGCCGAGGCAACTGACATTTTCCTCCATTTTGCTATTTAATGCCCCTCCTTTTTTGTTCCGTGTGGTCTTTTATAGTGGGAGTGGCCGAAACTGGGGCTGGGCCTCGGGAGGCAGTTCCATCATTGCCGAATTCGGAAGTCTGCACCTGGAGTTTGTCTACCTCTCTGAGATAACGGGGAACCCAGTGTACAGTCAGAAGGTTGGTTGTGGGAAGAATTTGTTGAGATTGTGACAGACCCTTTCCAAATTTGGTGTCCACCTGAAATACATTGTAGAGCATATTTCAGCTAATTAATGCCATCCAAGCATGTCAAGTCTGCAGTGTACAGTTGTTGGCAGTGGTGTGACTAGAGTAAAATTCTAAGGGGGGGTGGGCACATACTTTTCAAGGGGACACTGAAAGCAAATGAACTGTGACTTTCACAGAAATTTAAAGGGGGAAGGTATACAGATTTCCCCTGGGGGGATGGGGGATGTGTGGTCCACAGGAGGTTAGTGGGTGGTTTCAAAGTGAGGGGCACAGACTTCCTCTGGGGCAAAGGGGTAAGGTCTACAAATGGTCAGTGGGTGGTTTCTAGTTAATTTGACACTTCAAAGATTTGGGGACACAGACTTCTGCTAATGGGCAAGGGGGATATGAGGTCCACAGGAGGTTAGTGGGTGGTTTCATGAGGAGGGGCACAGACTTCCTCCGGGGCAAAGGGGTGAGGTCTACAAATGGTCAGGGGGTGGTTTCTAGTTGATTTGACACTTCAAAGATTGGGGGACACAGACTTCTGCTAATGGGTAAGGGGATATGGAGTCCATAGGAGGTTAGTGGGTGGTTTCAAAGTGAGGGGCACAGACTTCCTTTCGGGCAAAGGGGTAAGGTATACAAATGGTCAGTGGGTGGTTTCTAGTTAATTTGACACTTCAAAGATTGGGGGACACAGACTTCTGCTAATGGGTAAGGGGGATATGGAGTCCATAGGAGGTTAGTGGGTGGTTTCATAGGGAGGGGCACAGACTTCCTTTCGGGCAAAGGGGTGAGGTATACAAATGGTCAGTGGGTGGTTTCTAGTTGATTTGACTCTTCAAAGATTGGGGGACACAGACTTCTGCTAATGGGCAAGGGGGATATGAGGTACACAGGTGGTTAGTGGATGGTTTCTAGTTGATGTCCCGACGTGATCAGTTGATAAGGGGTTCCAGTGGCATTGGTGGCATAAGGTGAATACCAGATCCAAGATGGTGTGACGAGGAACAACGTTATTCCTTCTATGTATCCCGGGGGAGTGGGTTGGATGTTCTTCAGGAGGACAATTCTTGAGAATATTTACATGTATGTTACCCAGCACCTGACGCTATTTTTGTGTTCCTTCTGTGTACAGGTTAACAAAGTCAGGGAGGTCCTTGATTCCATGAGCAAGCCTGACGGCCTCTACCCGAACTATCTCAACCCCAAAACAGGCAAATGGGGACAGCGTAAGTGCCCACATAGCACATTACTGCCCACGGTCACCATCCAATTCATCTATGCTTTTCTTGGTTTGAACCCAGTTTATGAACTGAGCAAGTTAATTTGTACCTTTTGTGAGCAAATCTGATTCCTGGTTCTGTAAACGCCGTCGCTGCCTGTGATGACGAAGTGTGGTGAACACTTCCTTTGTATCGACTCCATTTCAGAACATGTTTCCCTGGGTGCGCTTGGTGACAGTTTTTACGAGTATCTACTGAAGTCTTACATCCAGTCTGGCAAGAAGGACGAGAAGGCCAAGAAGATGTACTTTGACGCGATTGCGGTAAGCTCAAGCCGCATCCAAACTATTTGGCTCAGGTTCCAAAATAACCTCAGAGCCCATGGGAAGTGGGCCAAGCCACTACTTGGCGCCTTCCCATAGGCACGTGCATCATTTCCAGCCGCAGCCAAGTAAATTGGATGAACATGTGTGATAGCGGCGTCGTCTAATAACCTTTTCCATCAGTTTCACTGGGGAATGCTGACTTCTCCTTTGCCAAACATACAGTGCTGTCTTGGCCTTTCCCTACAGCCTGATCCATTAAGCCCCACCCACTGCGCCCTCACGTGGGCACCTAGTGCCTGCCCTCTCCTCCAGTCCCCGGTGCAGATAATTTGACTCCACTAATATTGACTCGCTGGCCTCCTGTTGTCCATCTTAATCCTTCCCCCCACCCCCCCCCTTTTCTCGTAGGCTATTGAGAGAAAAATGAAACAGACCTCGCCGGGCGGAAGGACGTTCATCGGGGAGTGGCGGGCCAATCGCGTGGAGAAGAAGATGGACCACCTGTCCTGCTTCTCTGGGGGGATGTTTGGGCTGGGCGCCCAGTATTCAGACCGGAAGGACCATTACCTGGAGCTGGGCGGCCAGATAACGGAAACCTGTCACCAGGCCTACGACAACACAGGTAGGTATCCGTATCCGGGTGTTGTTTTTTTTCTTTTTTGGGACTTTTGAAAACTGAGCTCGTTCAATAAACCCCTGTACCAGTGACACACACTTTGTTTACGGGTGTGCTTTCTTATGGTGCTCAGTTGAACATGGGCCCCTGCTAGCTCCGTAGGAAAGTGTACATTGAAACAAAGTGTGGCATCATCGTACATGACCGTGTTTGCCCCTAGGATTCAAACCGGTTGTTTTTATGCAGGTCTAGTTCCTCTTTTATCAAAGCTTAGGTCAAAATTTTACGGTAGTTTCACTGGTTCAAAAACAGTGACCATGATGATGCATTCTACCAGGAGATGTAAGATAGGGGTCATTCCTTTAGGTTGGGGCACAATTTGTGACGGCGATCTTGTTACATCGGCAACTGTTACCACCTGTCATGACCTGTAGAGTAGGTCATTTACTCTGTAAACATAACACACACCTCTGTATTCAGCCTTGCAAGATGTATAACAATGTCAATTTGGAGTCCACATGCAGGGAAATAGCGGTTCATTTTTACAGAACCCACGTAGAACAGCCATTTTTAGTTACTTGCTCAGTTAGTTAGTTTTAGTGATTATCTTTTAAATGTTTTTACTCATTCAAGCTGAGACCAATTCTGTCAAATTTTTTTATTTACAAATAGCGATAAATCAATCAATCATCATGAGACTCATTTAGCAAGTTTGGCGCAAACTATGTTTCGACCAGTCATCAGTTGCCTTTTAACAATGCGCATGTGCAATTAAGTTACGCTCAAATGTCCCCAGTTGGTCAGTTTTTGAAATCTCATTGTTAATACTCAAATTTCACCGTTGGCTTTGATTCTCGCGGCATACATGGTCATTGAAATTTCGTAAATTTTTTTCATGTGAATATTCCCTCCTTGATGATAAATGAAATTCGTTGTTGATAACCAGTGATGCAACCATGCCCTGGGGCCTGGTCCCAAATGGTTGACCAGATGGTCAAACCGTCCTTCGTTTGGGGAGTGTTAGTTGAACTGTAGTCGTCACATGAACTTGCCCATTGAATAAACTTCCTGAGTTTTTCTCAGGAGTGTTCTCAAGTTGTTTGATCTTGTGCTAGGAACACTCTGTATGACAGCATGGCTCAGTGTACATTTCTGAGTTTCACCATCAGCCTTGTTCATAGCACCGCATATGTAACCCAGCACTAATTTAAAGTTGCTTGGGCATATCTCTGGAATCGGATCAAACCCAACGACCTTGACTGAACTCATTCACTAAGCTCTCAACTTTTTCCACCGATCGTTTGCAGCGACCAAATTAGGCCCCGAGGCTTTCCGGTTTGAGGGTCGCTCGGAGGCCGTGGCCATGCGACAGAATGAGAAATACTACATCCTGAGGCCTGAGACGATAGAGTCCTACTTCGTGATGTGGAGGCTGACACACGAGCAGAAGTACCGGGAGTGGGGCTGGGAGGCAGCGGAGGTGAGAGTCAGCTTTCTGATTAGACAGGCCAAATCAGTGTTTTGATTGGACAGGCCAGATCAGCATTTTAATTGGACATGCCAAATCAGTGTTTTGATTGGACAGGCCAAATCAGCATTTTAATTGGACATGCCAAAGCAGTGTTTTGATTGGACAGGCCAAATCAGCATTTTAATTGGACATGCCAAAGCAGTGTTTTGATTGGACAGGCCAAATCAGCATTTTAATTGGACATGCCAAAGCAGTGTTTTGATTGGACAGACCAAATCAGCATTTTGATTGGACAGGCCAAAACCACCCTAGTGGTCCAATCCACTTCGCTTTGTCTCCTTGAATTAAACATTCAATCTGTCAATTCATGAAATTATTCTCACCACTGTGCTCATAAGCAATGATTGCTCAGATAATTTTTTTCAAATTCCCTTCAGGCTTTGAACAAGCACTGCCGCGTGGACAGCGGTTTTTCCGGCATACGGGACGTATATGCAACCAAAGTCAGTCATGACGACGTTCAGCAAAGCTTCTTCCTCGCTGAGACGCTCAAGTATCTCTACCTGCTATTTTCAAACGACGACCTCCTACCCTTGGACCAGTGGGTGTTGAACACTGAGGCACATCCGCTACCAGTGCTGAAAAGCTGGAAGCCTTGAGGCCTTCTGTGTTGATTTGATTTTTTTTGTTGATCGCAATCCCCTTGTTTAAAAACTGGCTTTGCTTACATATGTCATTTTTTATCAGAGTCCTTGCAACATCGTCAGAAATGTGTGTAACACAAGCCACTGCCAATTCTCTCAGCGTAGCAACATCCTGGAACCATTGTGGGTTTTTTCTTCCAAGTTCCCAGTGGAGTTATGGTGAAGTCTTGAAATCAGCTGCCAGAAGTACCGTTCATATTTTGCCTCATTGTTCAGCAGTGTGATTTTTTTGTCATTCAGGGATACTCAAGATTACATTTTTGGTGTGTAAAATCATCATTGCTTCTACAAAGTGATACACGGCTGACATCAGTGCTTGAATGTCTTTGTTAAGACAAAGAGACGTCAATGCTGGCTTAAGCTGTGTGGTATTTTGTGAAAATGGTGACGAAACCTACCCTGCTTGTGGAGTGAATAATTCTATTTAATCCCTTGACGCCAGGAGACTGCCACTGGTATAGCCGCGGCTCAATGGGAGGATTAGTGCATATCACACATACATTCTATTCATGCACCTGCGGTTTCAATATGGGCCAGCTGCTGGCTCGGGCTCTGCAATCTGTGCACGCCGCAGTCCAGCAGTCACAGTCAAAAAAATCCCGGCGTTAAGGGATCAAGAGGTAATTTTGGGGTTGGGGAGAAGTTATATGTTATATTTGGAGTTTTGGCCTTCACTGACCTACATTTCTACGAATTGTATACTCAGTGTTATTTGGCGGCTGCACCCACTGCTGATGTGACTCGAATCAGCCAGCTGCCCCCAGCAATGTCGATGGTCAAGTGGTAAGACATCTGCACTACTAAGCCAGAGACTGTGGGTCCGAGTCCCACCAAATTAAGGTTGTGACAATTGTTCACAAGTCTTTGGACAGCACTGAAGATATATATGTCAGTATATCAATACATGTCATTGAAGGGCCAAACGCTCCATTTAGAATTTCAAGTTGGAACCATGTTCATGCTTTGCCATGGTAATGTAAAAATGGGGGGGAAGGGAATGTTTACCTTTTCCGTACCTGTCCTCTTTGTTTTTTGTTTTGTTTTTCACTATAAGTGATCACGAAGTAAACCTGTTGTTTTGATTAGGAGTCTTATTCTGGTATTGTGCAACAGTTGGGGTAAAATTTCCTTTTTTTTTTTGTACAGTGAAATGTCTTGAATCGGCAGGGAGAGTTTAATTTTAGTCGTTGAATCGCCGCAAATATTGGATTTTTTAAAAATTAAATCATCAGTTGTGTGGTATTTCATCACATTCAGTTTTCAGACCACGGCTTCTCTTGTCTGGTTTTAAAAATCACGCAAATGCTAAATCACAGTGACGTGACTTGAAGTAAAGATGTGAACCCTTTTTAGACACATAACTTGTTGAACTTTTTTTTTAGTTCGTTGGTGTTACTCTCTTCACTCCTGTACTTAAAACTTTGTGGAGGTGGTGAGATGTAAACTTACTCGGTATCTTACTCATTTAAACTCGTTCTCCATTTCAGACTTAGTGCAGTCATCACATGGGCTTAAGACATCACTCAAAATCCTGCCCAGTTAAATGAAACAATGAGATATTTGCTTCTGTAAAGACAGAAACTGTGCACAGTGATCTTGTAGACGAGGCATGTTTTTGTGTTAATCTCCTAACATTCAACAAGTGGACACAAGACAGAAAATTTTGAGTTGCCTGGAGTGTTCTGTTTCTCTACGCCATTGCACACCTTTGAGGAATTGAGGATTGACCCCGCCTCCCCCTCATGCATTTACATGAGTCGTGAAATCCTTTGGAATGTCCGCTTACGGGATGGTCAATTATCCTGTTGTACAAATGTAAACTAGTATGACCCGACTGTAACAGTTTCCAACCGTTATAAAGTGTTTTCTGTTAACAAACTCTATTTTGCCATTTGCATTGACAAAAAGTGTAGATCTGAAATACATTTTACCAGTTAGATCCAACCAGTAGTCTGTAAATTTTATTGAAGTAACATTTTTGGAGATTTTGTTGAGTGGAACACCTGCATATCTGCCAAGATTGCATTTAAATTCATAATCATTTTTCATTTTGTTCTTTAATTTTTTCCTTAGTGCACAACCAATGTACCGGTACTTAGTCTTGGCTTCAAGCATTTCTATACATGTATATACACCATTAGTAGGTTAATACAAATCATAACCACACTGCCAAAGCACGCTTGAGTGCAGTTGGTTTGCACTGGTTTCAGTCTTGAGAAGAGGCCACAGTTGTGTACACATTCTGATATTTTTTTGTTCTGTGATCAAGTACAGTGCGCAGTGAGTCTTGCACTGGGTTTTATTTCCAGGATTTTCCCTTGAAATATATATTTTTACTCTTCCCATTACCCACGCATGATCCAGCACAGCCTGTGTAATGATTGACTCACTGGCTTTCTGCGGAAAGTCTCTGTCCCTCAATGTGCAGCACATAACGTGTCCTTGGCCATGATTTTGTGCCAATTCTAATGAAAGTTATTTGCATCGCGCATCAAATGCACACACAAAACCAGCTAACACATCCCACATCCTTTACAGGCTCTCTTAAGTTCACACCAACATTTTCTTGCGAGGACTTGGTAGAGGGACCAAGCATTTTGAAAATGTAGATTTTGTTCTTGACACGTGAGCAGAATAAGCAATTTTTGCGGCTCGGTGCTGCATGCTTTGAGATATATTATCTTCATTCCATCCGTGGGACTCAGCCACATTGGGCCATTTTTTGTGATCAGTCATTCAGGTTTCGTGTACTTTTCAAAAAAACCTGAAATTTACCTGATGCCTTTTGACTTGCAAAGTTTCTTTCTTGGGTATTGAAATGACTTACTTGTTAGGAATAGACCCCTGTACTGATGATGCCACAGTGTGAGCGTGTTTTCCTACGGTGTTCAGTGGACTGTGGCCTGCCCCCACCCCAGCTCCATGGGCCATAGGAAAGTGCACATGTAAACAAAGTGTGGTGTCATCAGTGCATAGGCCCTTTATGGCATGGTTAGAGAGTCTGGTGTTGAAATCTTTTTTTTATGGGCTCTTAAAGGCTTTAACTTTGTAAAGAAACTGTTCCACGTGATCTGTCCAATGACTGCTAAATAGCTATAACTATTCATTTGCATATTAGCAGACAATTTGGCATCAAAGTGGTTCAGGAAATTGTTTTTTTTTAACTGTGCTAAAAGGCAATAATTTCATAATGTTCTGTACATTTGAGTGAAGTAAAAACACACAAAATTTAGCATTATAAAATTAGAATTATTTTTCAGAAATTAGACTCATACAAATAATATTGATCCCCCACCTTGTAACAAAAAAACCCTCATTTGCAAAAAACCTTTGTGTTCATTAATTTCTTTGTGCAAACATAATTAAATGACTTTGTTTGGTGATAGGCTGCACTTTGGTAACTTTCTCTCCCCTTTCCCCATATTTCCTTGCTTCCTGCTCTTGGCTGTGAAGATTAAAAAGATTCATGGAGGTCAAAGTTTGGTTACAGTTGAATTTACCTACAATTTTCATGTTCTGTCAGCTAAGCAAAAAGTCTTGAATCACCTCTGTGCTTTTCATTCTTCTGTCATTCGTTTTTAAACGTCATATTATTTTCATTTTGGCTTAATGATTTTAATTTTTGCAAGTAAGTTCCAGTTTTATGTCTTGACCAGCCTCAATTGAAGTACTGTAGGTGTTCTGATAGATATGACTTTAGTCACGAGGAATTTGGTGTCATCAAGTGATATTTTTTGCCGTTTTGCTGTTTATATGTTTTATCTGAATTTCAGTTAACGTGATTGTTTTGCGTAAATGTGATTATACCAAAAAAAATGAAACAGCCAGCAATGCCGTGAATTCCATCTTCCCTGGTTATGCATAATGCATATGCTCATGATAAAGTAATGTGCTACATTTAAATGATAACACATATACATAAAAGTAGCGCTCTTTTTGCTGAAACAATACATTTTAGTACAATAAAAGTGTAAAATTTAAATCATAAATTTGTGTGTTTTGTTAAATTGGAATAAAAATGTACATTTGAAGTATATGGGTAAAGCTGGTATAGATATTTTAACTGTATTGTAATAAAAAATGTTGAAACTGGCGGGGCATTGTGTGACTGAAAGTGTGTCTTTTAAACGATGTTAATTGGCGTGGAAAAGTGCTTATGAAAGAAGTTCACCTGAAAATACTTTCTTTTTACATTTTCTACTGGCCAGAAGAGGGCATTTGAATATTTTATTAGGTCACCGGTCACATTTTTTAACAATATCTCTGCGGAGACTAACTCTGCTTAAAACAAATTCATCTTTAACTAATTGCAAATAATGGCATCTCCGGTTTCTGCTGAAAGCAAAGGTCAGTTGATTTATGCACACGACAGAAATGCTATGCTAAATTTAAGTTGTAACTTACTGCAGGAAATCAAGATGGGGTATCTCATGATTGATTTTAAATGGTTTTTGGCTGAGTTAAAATGTTAAACTTAAATTGCCTGTAATCCCACACCTGATAACGTCATCTTGACGTTAATCTTGTAGGATAATGGGGGATATACCCCCTCCCCACTTTTTGAAGTCACTGACTTTATGCGCACCTGGCTTTTGCCCAAAGATCGTATAGTGCCGCGTAGCGGCGCAAGATGGCGAACTTCACCGTGAATACACGTAAAACGTTGTAATCGCACAGGCGCCATTTAAGCAAGCGATACGCCTGCGCAATGCCCATTAATGCAAAGTACTAGGTGCAGGCGCCGCAACAGGAACGTGCGCCTAGTGAGCTTGCGTCGAAGCATTACCGTAAACTGCGCAGGCGTATCGCTTGCTCAAATGGCGCTTATGATAATTACACCGTTTGGGCAGAGTTATCCATCTTGCGTCTTCGTCGCAAAACGATCTTTGCTTTTGCCCCCGCACTCCAACAGAGGTTGCTGTTACTGGCCCCCCGGCAAGTGGGACCTTGAACCCTGTGCCCTGTCACGCTATGAACAAGGATGACTTTTCAGAATATGTGACTAGAAATCCCACCCATCAACCTTGGGACCAGGGTTGATGCTCAATGCATTGTATCATGTGGAAAATTGTCCACAAAATTACTTGACAAAGAAAAAAAACATGATTGGGCTGGGCCCAATTAAAATAATTTGTCACAAAGACTTATTTTCCTTCCTCTGTGATAATATGCACATGTTAAAATGAACACTAGCCACGTAGCCGTTTTTTTTTTTTGGTTAACAACATTAAAAAAAAAACTTTTATATTATTAACGCAATCGGCACGTGCCATGACCAATTCTACCCTTTGTGCTTTCCGCCAACGCATTGTTGATTGGTTAATCACCCGAACGTCATCACCAATGACAGTTGGACAGTTTTCGCCGCCATCTTGCAAAATGGCAGCGCCCTGCGCAAGTTCAGTTTCGTTCCAGAAAAAAACTGAATGGTCTTGCTGCCCCTAGTGAGGCTGAAATACATGTAGCTGGAGAGATTGACAGTTTGAACACTTAAGTTCAACATTTTGACACAGGCCCCTACATTGTGTATGACAACAGGAACAAGGCTACACGACTAACATTAGCCTGTGTCTGGACATCTGCTCTGGGCAAAACTCACTAGTGCCTGGTGTTATAAAACGTCGCTACGGCGGTCGGCCCGGCGGACTAACCTGGGTTACCGGAATGTCATGGAAGTCTCTCCAAACTTCGCTCAACGAGCACAACCAACAGACAAATATTCCAGGTATGTTGCACCTGCAGTGTATGGACTGTGGTTGAACACCATGTGATCAGTTATTCTACAACACCTTTTGTCAGGTCGTGTCATCATCATACTAATTTTGCGAGTAGGATGCGGAAAGAATTTTGGAATGCCGCTTGACACTGTGCACTAACCTTACACTACCCGCAGAACTGTGGGGCCATTCCGCTCCCACGGGACCCCACAGTTCTGGGGGTAACCTTACAGTTACAAAGGTCTGAAAAGTGTTTTCAGACTTACCTTTGGCCATTTCCTAGGCAGTAGGACTAGGCCCTAATCATATGAAATATCCATAGACTAGTCATGCTAGTACCGTACCTAAGTAGTAATTTATCAAACATTTAGGCCCAGGCCCTACCTACAAATCATTTGAAATTGTAAGGAAGTTTCTGTCTTTGGCATATTTAGAGATATAGGGGCCTGTATTTGAGATTATTTGTTGGGGCACTAGTAACCCACATGATCAACTGCAGGTCGGAGGCTGCCATGTCCGTCATGTTGAGAAAAACAGAAAAATCTTGTTGGGGTTTTTTTATGTGAAAACTGAAATAGGTAGGTGCCCCTTTGACTTTTTAATTCAGGCATCCAAACCCCCGTTCGCATTTTTTAGCCCCCAAAATAGCTTCGCCCCCTTTTTAAAAAAACATTTGGATTTTAAAAATGTCAAAAAAGTGGCCAGTGACTTATGAGTATGGAATTTTTCCCTCCAATATTGTACATTGCTAAATATATTTTATTGCTTTCAGATAAGCTAGTAGGCTTAGTAGTCACTGCAGGGGGATGATTAGTGTCATCTGTATATGGAGGCCTTTGGAATTCTTCATGTTCTTTCCAAATATTTCTTCACCATGTTCACTGGCATTGTGACATGATCAGATTTTCTTAACTTCACTTTTTAAGTTCAAGATGGCCTATTCCCTACTGCTAGTTTGTCACTCTGCCTCTTAATTTCATAGTAGTTAATATTGTTTGTATACGTGTATTCAGTAGTACATGTACATGTATGTAAAAATACAAGTAATATAATTGTCACTCCATCATACATATATTTACTTTTACCTGTACATGTGTGATTTAGGAAAAGCTACTTATTTTTTCGGGGGAAGGGAGGGATGGAGATGAGTTGTGTCAGGAATAAACTTAACCTTGATTTTTTGTATACATGCATGTATGTACAGTGTACATGTATCCTTGATCCCTCCCTCCAAAATAGATACTTTCATAAAGTTGAAGAATGCCCTTTGTATTTAGATGTCATCGGCACTCCTGTTTGTACTGTGTCTTTTCTGTTCCATCTCAGATTAGGAACTTCAGTCTGAGGCTTTCTGCGTTTGCATTGCAGGGTTCGACACAGTGACGGGTAAACGGGGAGGAACTTTGACAAACAGTATGCAGACAAGTGAGTATCCTGATCATTGGGAATTGAGTCAGACTTGTAGGACAAAACTGTTACTTTGTATGGAGTTGTCTAGTAAGGCCAAGGGAATAAAAACAGTAGTTTCTCATTCGGGGTTAAAAAAGGGAGGCAGTGGGTTTGTTGTTTACATTGAAAATTATTCTATATTGGTTGATAGATCTTCTAGTCTCTTTTGCTGACACTTGTTGTCTAAATCAAGGAGATTTTGCCCAGAAAAAGGTTTGAATTTGCATTTATGGTTACATGTTATTAGAAACAAATGAACAGTGAAAATACATTGCAAATTTACCCCCAAAAGGACAAACTGAAAAGGGGGGGTAGGGGTGGGAATTCGGACAGGCTGAGGAAAAGAAGTCAAGTGACCAGTGTTTAGTTACTGTACACGGCTTGACAGCCTTGGTTTTAAATGTACATGTAGGCCTTCAAATGTCTCCAAAAGCAAGCAGTTGGATTCGATGGTTGTGTGATTCATGTGTTTGGCATCCCAAATTATGGGACAGATTTTACTCTATCATGCCCCTCCCCCATGTGGACAGGAATAGCAAATCTGTGGAAATAGCCAAGCACCCAAAGAATATAGCGCCCTCTGTTGTTGCCCTGTTTGACTCACTCTGTTCTTAAGCTGTACATGTGCATTGTGCATACACATAAACACTACAGATAAACAGTAATCCATTTAGTTTGTGAGGTTGTTTTTACTGCACAACAGGGCCCTTAAATGCCTTACCTGTGGTAGCTTGCAGTGGTTACTTTGTTTTTCATGATTCATAGGCTTCAAGAAATTATTCATAACTGAATTGTCCTGAGAGTACCATTTCAAATACAAAAACAAGAAACCCTTAAAACTTTGTTAGGCTTCATCTGAAATGCGAGCCCTAAATTTGAATTAATTACAAAGTGTATAAGCCACACTGTGCAGCGGGTCAAGTAACTATCTCACTTGAAACTTTCCTTTCATGTCCAATAATGATTAATTCTGTGCCATCTGAAACTTATTCTTTTTGCCGCCCTCTATTTTTACACTAGCAGGGTATAATCAGACATTATCGTCCTATGTCTTGATGTATAACCCAGTAACTGTTCGGCTGTTGATTGGTCATGTACATACAGAAGGCAGCACGTTTGACGACTGGGCCACGCCGGCCATTCT